AATACTCTCTTCAGCATGAAGGAACTCAAATTACACAGAGAAGCTTCATCAGCTAAAATTAAACCCCCAGCTGTAAATGCAATGGGATGTCTAAAAGTAGCTGCACAGAAAGGGGAGGCAGTGGTTTAATGGTAACTGGTACTTCAGAATCCCAGGCCAATGTTTTGGTGGGGCAAGGGCTCAAATCTTACTGTGGTCGTTGATGTAATTTGAATTCAATCAAATGTGGAAGGTAGTCTAATGGTGATCTAATAGTCCATCTGGTTCACTAATGTTCTTTACAGTAGGAAATCTGCTGTCCTTACCTAAACTGGTGACAATGTAACTCCAGACCCACAGCAAATGACTGCCTCTCAACTGTCCTCTGGCTAAGACAGCAATCAATTTAAGGACAATTGGGAATGGACAACCAATTCCAGCATTGCCAGTGATGTCCACACTCCATGCTAGAATAAAAGAATGCTAAAAGTATATCTGAATTAATTTGTGAATTTATGAAAAGATGGCAGACAAATGAAAGCGCATGTTTTGAAAAAACACAGACTATTCTTGTGCTGGCAATGAACAACCAACTATTTTTAAAAAAAGATAACAATCTTTAATTGGAAGCTAAAATCAATAACTAAAGTCAGCATAAATGAATACTTTAGAATGTCGGGGGCAGTTTTTTTTAAAAAGAATGTATCCCCCCAGTTTTCTTCTTTTATACCAGTCCTGATGACAAGGACTCATATTGTATCATGTCGTACTATCCTCAGCCCTCCATAGCTCTGTATCCATTTTCTGAGCGTGAGTAAATTGTGTTACGACCTCAGTCAAGAACAGAAACCTAAGGCCCAATTACTTACTGAGAAAATGAAACCACAAGATTCAAAGTTTTATCAAAAGAATTTTACTATGCAAGAGTCAAACAAAGCATAAACTAAATACTACGTTAGATACCACTTATGCATAAAATCAACAATCAACATAAGTTAACAATGAATTAACAGGCAAATTTTGATTAATTGTGGGCTACAAGTTACACATTCATACACCTACGACAGATCTTAAGAATTGGCTTGGCAATCCATTCAGCATATATGTCATCAATCTGTCACAAAAATCCTTCAA